AAGAAGAAAGAAGTTAGAAATTTGAAATTTTGCACCTATACTAAGTGGACCCTGAGGGTGTGCACCTAGGTATTATTTATCTTACCCATGCATGCGCGCAAATCTTTTTAATGACGCAAGCTAGCGAAAAACCACATACAAAAAAAAGTGGTTCCTTATATAACAGCTTGTAATATATAGAAGAGCCAGTGCGTTTTAGTAACAATGCTTTTCAACGATAGCTTTTATGTCATGTCGCTTAGCAACAAAGTATATAGGTTATACTTTTATGCTAAAATGTGTTCAGAATACACACGCTATCAACGAGGGAAGCCGGGTATTTTCCTTAGTATTTATATAGTTTTATAAAGTGAATAATGAATTATTAGTCTCGGTAAGCTATTGCCCCGGTAAATTTAACAGGAAATAATATTATATTCCGTTCATGGCGTTAGTAATATGACCCTTGCACAGAAAAACGATATTCTCAAATCACGTCTGTCGACTTTAAGGCAAGTAAAATAGCTATAGTTAAACTAAGTGCAGTATCACTGAGAATAAATTACCAGGGTCGTGTATTATGCTGGTCAATAAAATGTAAATTTCAATTTAAATAACGAATTACGAATTTGATGTTAATAAAGCTTGACTGCGTTGAAATAAGTATCATAGAAGAAGTATCTTATCATATTTGATACAACTGAATAGATATTATCAAATTCAGTATGCTAGATCTAATGGTAAATACAACTATGTTCTCATTCATACCACTAATACTTCACATACAAACATTAGAGAAACGGTGTTTAAAATCCCGTCCTCAGCTCATTTTGTTGATTTTTTTTTTGTTGCTGATGTCAGTCAATATAATATTTTACATGCTTGATGAAATACTGTTTTAGGAAGATATTGTTTTAGTGTATTGTGAAAACATTTCATTCTATACTCAGGGCTGAGCTCCCCAAAGCTAGGCCTGGTGGAGGTAGGTTAATATGTGTTAATAATATTAAAGCTGCTATGCACTACATATCCGAGTTTTACTATTTATATTTTAGGGATATTTTCATTTGAAGATTCTAAATGTCAAATCTTTGGGGGCTCATACCTTTCGGTTTTTATATAGAATTACCATGTTTAGATCTCGTATGCATTTAAGCCTCACCCCACCACCAGAGATAACTTTCTTTTTCCGCCTCTGCAATCCCAATTCAAGACATAGTTCACTGTTGCTAACAATTGCGTTCAGACTTATACCTCACGAGGCCTAGCTTTCAAGAGTTTTATTAAATCACATGTTTTCCAAAAATAACATGGTGACTTGTAGAAAAGTTCTTCAGTTTATCGTAAAAAAACAACAACAACGACAACAACAACAACATTAATCTGTTTTTGTGCGTTTTTTTATCTTTCATCTAAAACAAATTGGCTGGCGTTGTATTTCCCTTTCTGTTTTTAGACTTACTCAGAACGATTTCGTGTTTGTGGAAGCAGTTTACTCCTTTATTTTACTGCTGTTCACTCTAAATTAGATTTTCTGGCTAAGCTTTATGAGCTTCATAAAACGTATTAACGAAAGACTGGAAAAATAAGGTCTATCTTTATTTTGTCCAGTAATCGAATTAGTTCATTGGCTCGAATTGAACATTTCGTCCATCGGACATCCACTTAACTTTATCGAACACAGTTAAAACTGGTAAACAGTTTTCAATTCGAAGGGGAAAAAAAAAACTTTGGCGGAACATTATATCTAGTTCATATGTACAAACTTCAAATGGATTTAAAACAAATTCAATAAACATTGTTGTATACGGAGTTTGGGGCTGAAATAAGAAAAATAATTTGTTTGTTTGAAGTTAAGCACAAAGCTACACAATGGGCTACCTGTGCTCTGCCCACCACGGGTATCGAAACCCGGTTTCTAGCGTTGTAAGCCCGCAGACATGCCGCTGTGCCATTGGGGGAGGGGCAACAAAATGAAAAAAAGACCGTGTAAAAAAAAAAGTGACAAATATTCAGAAACTGATAAAATTAAATTTCTAAAGGAAATTTGCTACCCAGTTAACCATTTATGACCAGATGTGTAAACTAAATGATTAACTAATCTGTAAGCCACTGTGTCCCAAAGGGTGTACTACGACACACTAATGTGTCGCAATTGAGCTGACGGTGTGCTGCAAAAAATACAAAACAAAACGCTTTCCTATAGCTGTCTTAAGAAAATAAACAATTATAATGAAATTTCTTAGCTAAAATTTCATGTGAAAACCAAGTTTAAATGGAGTCACAAAGCATTTTATTTATCGTTGGCTACTTTAGCGTATATGTGTGTATGGTTATATTCTAATTTTGCTATGACCACTACGGTCTGCCTTATGCCTCGTTTCCTTTATTTTCTTCTAATAATTTCAGGTGTGAATGAGAGAAATGATGGAAGTAAAACATTGCTGTCAACGATTCTGTGATCATATCTGCAAATAAGAAATAACTAATTAGTCGTTTCGACAGTCTGTGATCAAATATGTAAATATCAAGTAATTTATGTTACTCAAAATCCCATTACACTAATGTTATGAAAATTATATTACACCAGTATTAACATTAACATGTTGCAATTACAAAATTACACTAATGTTATTAAAATTAAATTACACCAGTATTAAAACTTAATAAATAATTAATGTCAACGGCTTCCACTTTAAAAATACACTTTACATGTACAATGTTTCGACGTCGTCAATTAAGATTTTAAAATTGTGTAAATATGAAACGTTGATTTTAATTATTTATTAAATTTTAGACAATACACAAGTTATTTACACGATGCAAATACGCTGATGTTATGAAGATTAAATTTCACCAATATTAGTAAAACGAAATTACATTAATCTAGTTGCATGGGTAGGGGTCAAAGTGCGAATGCCACGACCTTCTATAGAGTGTCATTCAATACGGTATTAAGTTTTTGATCTCAGAGTTATCAATAATTTATTTTACCCTACACTGCTGATTTAAAGATAGTTCGTGGTAGAAGGGAGTAAATACACACAGATGATGAAAAAAGTTGTAGATGTGCATTTCCGAGATTCTAGAGGTTATGCAAATACAATGTGAAAACTGTATGATGGACAAAAGTATTTTATTTTTCACATGAACATCAACTTCCACTTGGACTTCTCAGAGTCTGAGTCAGACTGACGTCATCAGTTCACAGACAGATATTGAGTACAAGTATTTATATACACAACTGATTTTGTTTTGTACAACAGACTTGTACTTTTAACTAAAAGCTTGACATATTTCGCGAAGATACACCTAGTAATATTGAAACTGTAGTCAACACAACTTTTCCAATACGATTTCGGTCCAATGGACCGAGCCCGTGGATATTCGCTTAATGTTACCAACATTAAATTACAATAATGTTGTCAAAATTAAATTACATTCATGTTATCATAATCAATTTATATCAGTGTTATCAATATCGAATTGGAATAATATTATCAAAATCAGATACAAATCAACCAAAAGTAAAACGTAAAAACAAAATGTCGTCACATGTGCGTAACCTAAAATATTGATAACAATTAATAACATTTGAGCATCTAATGAGTAACACTCACCCTTTTGAAATTTATAATGATAATCATAAGTTAATCAACCTCCGCGGAACAAAATATTTGTCTTATTAACGATTCACGTTAATGTGAAGTCATCATTTGTTTCAAAGTAAACGCAATTCTCATTCGAAAATCTACCAGTCAATAGACTGATATTAACCAATCTCGTTCGACAGTCTTATTGTTAAGGGGAAAGATCATCTGGAAGACAAGCATTTATACCAAATGACAGTTATTTTTTATATGCAGTTCTACTTTCCTGTCTATTTTATTCTACAGAAAAAAAAAACGTTCATTCTAGATTCCAATGTTTGTTTGTTAAAACTTGCACAAAGCCACTTGAGCTGTCCCTAATTTTGAAGTGATATACTAGAGGGACGGCACCTAGTCAACACCATCCAGCGCCAACTCTTGGGCTAATCTTTCCTGACGAAGAGTGGGATTGACCGTGATATTATCACGTTCCCAGAGGGAAGGCACCTAGTCAACACCCTCCAGCGCCAACTCTTGGGCTAATCTTTACCGACAAATAGTGGGATTGACCGTGACATTATCACGCTCCCCACGGCTGAAAGGGCGAGCATGTTCCGCGACAGGATTCGAGCTTGCGACGTTTGGCTAAATACCACAATTTCTTAACTGAACAATCACGAGATGATTTAGTTGTCTCACAAAATCTAGTCCTACTAGATCGTCAAATAAGTTTGATAAAGTTTTTTCATAGAAAAATAAAGAGAGTCAGATAAGGAACGAAACGAAATATGAAGCAACAAATTTCAACATTTTATTAGTTTGTTTTTCAATATCACAATAACCAGAGCATTAGATTCGCGAAATTTCTATATTTTAAACAAGATTTATGAAAATCTAAACTTGAGGAGAATAAAAAAAAAGGAACATAAGATACAGAGCTAGAGAAAGTTATATATGAAAAAGTGGAAGTATTTTACGACAGAATGTTAATGCTATATCATGATTTGTGACATTATCTTCTTCAGTGCTTCATCATTCATATCTTTCATGAGAAATTGAGCAACAATAGCAAACGAACGTCCAGTAATGCGTACATTGACAGTTGGATATATCGACGGATTATCCAGGCTGTGTCGATCAATATTTCGAAGACACGTCTACAGTTTAAGTCGCCGGTATCCTTAGAGTTTAAACTCTCCTTCTCTTTATGACGTCACACCATATTTTTTCTTTGTGTGTGTGTGTGTGTGTGTGTAGTGGTGAGTATATTTATATAGACTTAAATATATTAACCTTAATTAACTGGCTGGAATTAGCTCTCTTCATTCAGTAAGGTTTTTGGTAGTGATTAGATGATGTATTCACAATAGATTCTACCTATTAACTTAATTCTTCTTTGCTAAATCCTCTAGGGGCTCTGAGGTAACTACTATGGACGCAAGCCCTAGTATCAAGGCTCGAAGAGGAGAACGGGTTCCAAGTCTGAGACTGGCGAATGGCCGTGTTAGCCACGGGACTCCTTCACAGGAGGAGATCCGTTTTTCCCCTCGAAGTCTTAACAAGGAAGACTCCGTCAAAATCAGTATCGAAAACACCAACACTTGCACGGACTCTCTCGTGACGGCTGCTGACGAAGAGGGTCTTATTCGTGACCACATTATCTCAGACGTAAACTACAAAGACAGCCGTCCCGTTATTAACGCTTCACCCCGCGAGGTGGCCGGGGAAAGAGATGATGTTAGTCTTTATGGGACTCCCAAGGAAGAAGTGGGCCCTGTGCTTGTCGATGCGAAATCCTCATTTATGCGGTTACAGCTGGAGTCTTTATTCCAACCATCTGATAATAAGCTAGCTATGAAACTCTTTGGCAGCAAGAAGGCTCTAATGAAAGAGAGAATTCGACAAAAAGCCGCAGGACACTGGGTTATTCATCCCTGTTCTAAGTTCAGGTGAGTGATTTCTTAGAATAATTGGACAGTGAACAGTTGGTCGTGATTTACACGCTGCTCGATTGAGAGCAGAGAAGTAATAATAATGGAAAGTTAAGATATGTAGCTAAATTTGAAACCGCCCTTCTGTTTTTTGAATCTAAAAACCAAAACTGTTTGTAACATGTATCCATTAGAGTTTGTCTGACAGTGGTGAATTATTACCAAAACTGCTTGTAATATGTATCCACCAGAGTTTGTCTAACAGTGGTGAATTATTACCAAACCTGTTTGTAACATGTATCTGCCAGAGTTTGTCTGACAGTGGTGAATTATTACTCAAACAGCTCAACAGATTAATGTATACAAACCTTCCATGAGATGTAGCTCCGCCCCACTCAACAGAATATTGTATACAAAACTTCTATGAGATGTAGTTCCACCTCACTCAACAGATTAATATATACAAACCTTCCATGAAATGTAGCTCCGCCCCACCCAACAGTATAATGTATACAAACCTTCCATGAGCTGTAGCTTCGCCCCACTCAACAAATTAATGTATACAAACCTTCCATGAAATGTAGCTCCGCCCCCTCACTCAACAGAATAATGTATACAAACCTTCAATGAGATGTAGCTACGCCCCACTCAACAAATTAATGTATATATACACCTTCCATGAAATGTAGCTCCGCCCCCTCACTCAACAGAATAATGTATACAAACTTTCAATGAGATGTAGCTCCGCCCCACTCAACAAATTAATGTATATATACACCTTCCATGAAATGTAGCTCCGCCCCTCACTCAACAGATTAATGTTTTCAAACTTTCCATGAAATGCAGCTCCGCCCCCTCACTAAACAGATTAATCTATTCAAGCATTCCATGAAATGTAGCTCCGCCCCCTCACTCAACAGATTAATCTATTTACATTTTCCATGAAATGTAGCTCCACCCCTCCCTCTCACATAACTTGATTCGAGTTGGTTAGCAATCAATGAGGTTTATTATTTTACAAAATGCAGCAAAGTTGTAGAAATCTACTGGCATGTTGTTTTAAATTCAGTAATTATATTTTCTTTTTATACAAAACTTAACGAATAATGTCGTAAAGTATGTAATTAATTTTTTACATAAAACGGGAGGAGATCTTTCGAAACATTTCCACTAACATTATTTACAGAAATTATTTAACAACTTTTAAGAAATATTTAATATCTGATGTGAAGCAATAAAAAAAAAAACGGAAATCTAGATTATATCTATTCAAGAGTTGTGTTAAAAGAAAAAAAAATTATTTTAATAAAAATTCTTAGACATAAAGTTTTTTTTAATATTTAAGAATTATGTAATGCCCAATAAGAAGCAAAAACAATATATAGAAGTTTAGATGACATTACAGGTATTTTACAAGTGAGTTAAAAGATAAAAACCAAAAGATTATATTTTGATAAAAGTTGTTAAACATAACGTGTTTTTTTTTAACTATCAGTAAAACTAATGGCCTAGAAATATATAGTGGTTTGGTTAGGAATAATGTATTTAAGTTTGCATGAAACTTAAGCGATAACAGCAACAACGCTGCAGTGTGCTTCAACATATTTGTCACAGGTAAAGCCTCCAAAACAACGGGAAATGGCCTGGCATTGCCAGGTGGTTAGGGCGCTTGACTCGCAATCTGAGGGTCGCGGGTTCGAATCCCCGTCCCACCAAATACGCTCGCTCTTTCAGCGGTGGGGGCGTTATAAAGTGATGGTCAATCCCACTATTCGTTGGTAAAAGAGTAGCCCAAGAGTTGGTGGTGGGTGGTGATGACTATCTGCCCAACGTAGAATAGCA